TCCGGGCCTATGAAGAATTCAATTGAGTCAGTTTAGCTTCGAGATACAATATAAAACTGTATATTTCTGCGTAAATAGGTTCAATCCAAACTTAAACCCCCAATGTTCGTGATTTGAATCGAATCAAATCCTACCGCTAGAAGCAAGCCTTAAGTGAGGTTTTTCATTCACTAGAAGAATGCATTGGGGACGGTTATTTATTTATTTATTGAAGATGAGGAAAATCTGCAGTCAATACACGAAGGTGTGCAATGAATATACTCTCACATTCGTATGTAATAATCTGCAAATCACACATGAAAGATAAACTGTCACTAGAAAGATCTTGTGTGATAGACTCAACCGAGAGACCTTGATTAAATTTTTGTGTTATCTTAAAATCATTATACAAATTGAATTTAATTCGTGTAATACAATTCTTAATTCTTAATATTGTTATTGCAAATAAATTAGTTGTCACTTTATTTTTGATTTTGAACAAAAATGCAGACTGTTTGATTTTTGTCAGACATTTATTTTAGATGTATTAAACATGCATAATAACTTCTTGATATGTCATAACTCATAATGGGTATAGTGGATATATAAATGCACTCTCCAAATTAAAAGTGCACTACTTATCCTAGCAAGGTGGTAATCCAACAATAACAACAAAAACAATAAATTATGAAGATGAAGTCTTGATCAACTCATATTCTCATCATATTACCTATAGACCAAGCACAAGATTTCATGAATCAAGTGGTATTATCACAACAAGCATAATTAATTGAAATCATCTCTTCCTATTATAATGTACATGTACAACATGTCAAATGTATAATTATTATTAGTTAATATATTATGTACACATTCAGTTAACAGATTATATATATATATATATATATATATATATATATATATATATATATATATATCAGGACTATGTGGTCTAATGGTACCCGGGTTGGACTTTCATTTGAAAAGTTGTAAGTTCGAGCCTCTTTGTGTTTCAGTAGGAATATATTTCTAATCAGCTGAGAACCAACTTTAACCTATGAACTTGTGAAGAATTGCACTGCAACTACTAATGTTAGGTGCACTTAATATTGATGCTCAGTGTACATTATTTGTTGCACTTAAGTGCATTATATGAAACTGTTACTTGCACTTTTAAGACAATTTACTTGCACTTCAATGTTCTATGAAAATGTCATCACATTTTTTTTTTTTTTAAATTAGTGTTTCTAATCCGTCAGATCTAAACACGTGGACGGCTGTGAGTGGTTCTGAGTTATCTCCTGGGCAACACACACACAGAGGAAGCATGTCGGACTGTTGGTATTGTAGTATTTGATTAATTGATTTGTTTATACCACCCAAACCTTACTTATAAGCTGTAAGCATATAGCAAAATAGATGCATCGATCTCAATTATGATACGTTTGGGTGGGTGAAAAGAACACATGATTTGTGTTAAAAATGTTTTGTTTGTTTGTTTGTTTTTTTTTTTTCCCTTCATGTTGATGCATGAATGCATGATACAGAAATTTAAAAGCTACTATTTACACGTAAATATTTATTTGTTATTATATTGTTATTCTCTTTATATTATTAAACTCTTGTGAATTCTTAATTGATTTTATTGTAATTTTTTAAAAAAAAAATTTTTGATAAGAAGGAGGGAGACACCTAAACAAACCCTAGCTTCGACCATTGTAAATTAATTATGTAAACATTTATGTGCATTTAATATTATTCAATGAAAACTTATAATAACGTTGACATAGTAATCTTTAAAACTCTCCCACAACACGTGCTCTAATCATTTTATAATTTAATTAGCCTTATGTAAAACCGTTGAAACAAATTTTAAATATAAAATATTTTTGTAAGTGAATATGTAATATTTTATGATTTTTTTTTTTATCATTGGTCAATAAGTATTATTCTTACCATCATATTTTATGTGTCTAATTTGATTAAGCATGCTTGATTGAAGTTATTTACTATTCAAAATTTCATAATATTAAGTTTAGTATATAAAATTTATATATTTAAAAACTGCATTAAAAAAGTATTATTAAAAACAAAACAAAAATATCATAAAAAATTAACTATTAAAGAAAATAAACAAAGAATAACAAATTGGTTTGACCAATAAGTAGTAAACATGACAAATAAAATGAGATAGATAATTTTTTTTTTTGAAAAGTATTATTATTTTATAAAAATTGTATTCCTATTACCCTATAAAAGAATATTACATTTTTGTTAAAAAGTATTACATATTTGAGATTTGTTTCGCGTAAAACGGTGTCACTTAAATTTGTGTATATCCGATATGATTTAATTAGCATTGCATGACCAAAATTTGTATGACATTTGAGCAAAACCCATTAGTACATAACTTAGTTTGGCAATCAAGGTCAAAAAATCATTTAATCGCCCTTCACTTTCTACCTATTCGAGCATAGCTAATTAGTTTGGCAATCAACAAATATAGGTATCTGTCTGTGGCATTTTGAGCAAAAAACCATTAATACATTATAATTGGTGGAAAAGAATAAAGTTGGAAGGCATCAAATACAACTTAGCCCCATGTGCCTGAACTACACCTTCATTTCATTTACTAGAAAATTTGTAACTGATATCTAAATGTGTACTCTAAATAAAGTTTGTATTGTGATCTCAACTGACAAATAATTACAAAGATCGGTAAATCAATATAGATTGTCTATAGCTGCCTGACTCAAACAAAGAAGGTCAATAGACAGCTCCACGATGTGCCATTTTCCTTCACTTTTTTATACATTTCGACTCTTAATATTTGATTAAAACATATATTCTGACAAATAATAAATTGAACTTGTACGTTAGACTTATTTAGAGAACTAGTTGTAAATGTGCACAATGTATGATTGAAAAAAAATGTCAAATAAACAAAAAAAAAAAAAAAGAGAATAAATTTAATTATATGATTGAAATGCATTTTAAAAACACATAAATCTTATACTCCGTAACTATTAGGAGATGATTTTTTTTAATGATAAGAACGATTATTATCTTACATAAAATTTCAAAAATGTATTAAACGTAGTAGATATTGTGTTTCAAAATGATTACATTTTTAGGAAATGCAAATAAATTTTCTTTGATAATTTTTAAATTAGAGTTTTAATATTAATACAATAAAAAAATGTTTTGTTTACAATATGTTAATAATGCACCACATCAAATAAGATACAAACTAAAAAAATAAAGGTTTTAATTTTTAAATGTGAAAATTTCAACTCTTTTAGAAAAAGCAAGATTATATTTTTTAAAATAAATGTTAAATTTTCAAATGAGAAATTGTATTAAAATAGATACACATTATTTATTGATTCAAAATTCTATTAAGTTAAACTATATATATATATATATATATATATATATATGTGTGTGTGTATGTATATATATATATATATATATATATATATATATATATATATATATATATATATATATATATATATAACTACATACACACATATGTATCATGCATGCATGTCTTTACATTTTACATAGTAATGACACAATTTTATTGATAAATATTGAATGTATAATTGGTAATAAGATATAACTGTACAAAGAAAAAAAAATGGTCATCCACCTTGTGCTCAGATGGCACCTCTGTGTCTCCCCTTGAGGAAAGGTTAGAGGATTGTGATAAAGTATAGAACAGATAGATATTACCTTGTAATAGAGTTAATAGTATTCAAAAAAAAAAAATTTTAAAAAATGTCAAAAGGGAAAATGTGAATGGTAAAATTAAAAAGAAAATGTAAATGTGTAAAACAAACAAATAAACATTTAATGTAACTTATACTACAAACACAAATTTTATTTTAGTTAAGTATTAATCGACATTATTGACTTTTATTATATTTTATTTTAGATAAATTTAGAAATCGTCTCCAAATTTGTTACTTTATTCGTCGTATTAAGCGATCAGCAAATCATATTTCTCATGTTTTAGTTACGGCACTTTAGTTCTCAATTTGGTTTGTCTATTCTTCCTAGTTGTCTTCGGAACTATTTCAGTAGTTATTAATGTTATTCATCCTTTATTTAAAAAAAAAAAAAACAAATACATATGGTTAGTATACTTGTTTTGTAAGAAAATGGAAGAGCAGTTAAGTGTTGTTTGTTGTTGTGGTAAAAAAAAAAAAAAAAAAAGTTTGAGCATTGCTTCCATTCAATTGGAAACATCCCTTTCATGATTTTGATGGATTGAGGACCTCTCATCCTCACTCCAAATATCATCAATCATCAATTCAAATGAAAAGGCCAAGCTAATACTTTTAGCCATGTATGTGAGGTCAAGACTAATTAATATTCAAGTTGAAGATTATACATAGAGCTATAAATGTTTAATGCAAAAGCACCAATTATTTATTTATTTATTTATTTATTTTAATCAGAGAAATAAAGAATAAATTTATTCAGTACAAGAAGGTAAACCAACATAGGTTACATATACTGATCGGATTATCAAGTGAATAACTTGACAAACTTAGCGGAGGTTGTTCCAAAAGTATCAAATGCTTGTACGTACAGCTACATGAAGTGTACTGTAGGTTTTTTTTTTTTTAATTGTTGGGAGGGAACAAGTCTGCAACTGTAATCTACAACCACCACCGATACAAACATTATTAATGTAGAATGTAGATATGTGCAAATGGTAAAATGTATAGATGTCTGTGCAGATATATGTTTTTTTCTTTTTTGTGAAATAAAGGGTGGAAAAGCTAATGCAAAGCAAAAAGAGGAAGGATGGATTAAGTTATGTGGGTTCTGTACTGTCCTAACTTGTCCCCTCCACTTAACACACTGTTGGTCTCTCTCTCTCTCTCTCTCTCATCTCTTTCTCACAGACACATCACACAGAGAAACATCCCAAAAAAAAAAAAAATTATATATATATATATATATATATATATATAAAAGTTGAAAAGGGCAGAAGCACATTTAAGCCTTTTCTTTTAATTTGCCTTTAGCTTCTGTGCTTCCTTAGCAATTGTCTACGTCTCCTGTTTCATCTGCTCCCCCTTCTCAGAACGAAAAATGGGGGAGGGGAATCATGCTTTGAATTCCCTGTTATATATATGTGTATATATATATATACACATATATACAACTTTCTTTCGCTTTCCTCATCCGTCTAGCAATACCGTGACTACAAGTTCTTGATGTTTTTATACTTGGGAGAAGTATTGTAGTATTCAATTCCCCTCTTAATCTCCTGTTCTTGCTTTAAAGACTCTACCTTTATATATTTATATATATATATATACGATTTGACTTCATTTCCAATTTTCTAACTTTCCACTTGATTGCTCTTCCTCCCAAGTCCCACCCCCACTTTCAAGTGTTTTTCCAGGCTTTGTTTTGTGGTGTTTTTGGTTTTGGTTTTGGTTTTCTCCTCTGGAGAGTTTATGATGATATAGTGATAAAAACAGCAGACCTCAACTGGGGTTTTTTTTCATGGAAATTGATCTGAACCATGCAGTGAGTGGGGGGGTGGAGGAGAAGAAGCAGAAGAATGCATCATTTTGTAATGGAGAGTGTGAGAAGGGGGGTGGTCTCTCCACTTCCACTTCCTCATCATGCTCCTCCTCCTCAAATGCCTTTTCTTCTTCTTCCTCAGCTCCACCATCTTCAATCTACATGGAGCTCTGGCATGCCTGTGCTGGCCCTCTCACCTCCCTGCCCAAGAAAGGGAATGTGGTTCTCTATTTCCCCCAAGGCCATTTGGAGCAGGCCTCTCCCTTTCCTCCCACCTTTCAGATGGACCTGCCCACCCTTCCCCTCCACCCCCAGATCTTCTGCTCAGTTCAGGATGTTCAGCTTCTTGTAAGTCTTTCTGCTTAAATTAGTCCTTTTGTTGGGTGTTTTTACTTGCTCCTAAAATTGGGGATTTTAATTTACTTCTATTCAGCTATGTCTAATTTAGGCTGGTTTACTTCGTTGTGGTCCTTTGTTAGGTTCATAGGCGGGTCAGGTTTACTCACGCTCGAAAGGGTTGTGGGTTTTCCTCGTTATCGAAAAAAATTGGGGATTTGATGTGTTGATTCTTGAATTGCAGGCTAATAAGGAAAATGATGAAGTCTACACAAAGCTGACACTTTTGCCTATACCAGAGGTATGGCTGTCTTAAGTTGAATTAATTGTATAAAGTTTTGGTTTTTAGTATTTTATATATATGATTATGTTCTTGTGATTGGTTTTGGAGAGGAAGGAAGTGGTTGGTTTTCTATTTCATGGAGGTTTTTGAAAGTTTTATCTGAATTCCTTAAACTGTTTGAAAATTGGAGTAGTTAGTTTGGGATATGACTGTGTTGGCAATCTATATATACAGCCAGTAGGTATGAATTTGGAGGGCAAAGAGCATGGAGATTTGGGGATAGATGAGGACGGTGGTGGTGGTGGTGGGGGGGCTGCCCCCGTAAAATTGACCTCTCATATGTTCTGCAAAACCCTTACGGCCTCTGATACCAGTACCCATGGAGGCTTTTCAGTTCCTCGCCGAGCTGCTGAAGATTGTTTCCCACCATTGGTTCGGTTTCTGTTTTGGACTTTCATCAGTGACTTATGTTCATTCATTCGTTCTAGTACTAGGAAATTAAAGAGCGAAATTTCTTATGAAACTGTTACTGGGCTGTGAATTGTAGGATTACAAAGAGCAAAGGCCGTCTCAGGAGCTCGTTGCTAAGGACCTGCATGGAGTGGAGTGGAAATTCCGACACATCTATAGAGGTTATTAGATTGAAAACTTGGAATATTCTTCGATATGGAAATTGGAAGATTTGTTTAATGTGCTTATTTTATTAGACCGTGTTGAATGCTATTGAGTTTCGGGGATTTTAATGGTGTAATGCCCCTTTTGCAGGCCAGCCAAGGCGGCATTTGCTCACCACCGGGTGGAGCATCTTCGTGAGCCAAAAGGGTCTGGTGTCAGGGGATGCGGTTCTCTTTTTAAGGTACAAATCTTGTTCTTAAAAGCCAACCTATATTGGTGGTTTTGATCGAATGGGCTAATCTAGAGTGGTTTTGATATATTTGTCCCGAGTTATTTGAATAAATATAAGTTAATTAGAAGATGGTTTTTCCAGGGGAGAAGGTGGAGATCTTAGACTCGGAATAAGAAGAGCTGCTCGACCGAGAAATGGATTGCCTGAATCAATCATTAAGAATCAGACTTCTTATTCCAGCGTTCTTTCTGCCGTGACAAATGCTGTTTCTTGCAAGAGCACATTCCATGTCTTCTATAGCCTGAGGTACTATGCGTTCAATTGTCTCTATTTCCCGTATTTGTTATAACTGTTGGTCGGACAATTGGCTTGTTAACCACAAGGTTTCAAGTTCGACTACCCTTTGGGAGCTATCTATTGGCCTCCTTGGTTTGAGTCGGTTAGCTATGTGCAAACCTAACCTGGTTTACCTCTTTCTGGTCCTTTACTAGCTAGGGTCACAAGGCGGGTTTTACCCAAAGTGACCGCACCTTCGGGTAACGGGTGCCGTAAACCAAAGGGTCTAGATAATTATTCTTAGCTCAATGAAAAGTTACTAATAGTGCACAAGGCTAGGGAATGTTATGTAACATAACCTTACCAAAAGTGAAAGTTTCGAGGTTTTAGTTATAGCCTCCCTTCTCATTGGAGATATTTGATATGTCTCACGTGAACTTATTATGCTGATGCAGGGCAAGCCATGCTGATTTCATTGTACCCTACCAAAAATACGTGAAGAGCATCAATAACCGAATCCCGGTTGGAACAAGATTTAAAATGAGATACGACTATGACGATTCTCCCGAACGAAGGTAGTTTAATTTCTCAGTAAATATATATCACATATTATTGCCATTGAAGAGTTTTGATATAGAGAAGCAATTCTTATGTCTACTACAGGTTCAGCGGTATTGTGACGGGAATAAGCGACTTGGATCCTTATAGATGGCCCGGTTCAAAGTGGAGATGCTTGATGGTATATTGATTTTTCCATATAATAATGCTTCTTAATCATACTTGTACTCGACTATTCTATGATCCAAATGAAACCGAGTATATTGCCCTATTGATCGAGTAGAGATTGTATCGAGACTTAAAAGTGAACGTTTTTTATGCCACAGTTGTATAATGTTGCAGTCACTTTATTTTCTTCTTGATACAAGTGTCTCCATAAAACGTTACAGGTTAGATGGGATGATGATGTGATGAGTAATCATCAAGAACGGGTTTCTCCATGGGATATTGATTCTTCGGTTTCATTACCGCCACTGAACATCCAGTCTTCTCCACGAATGAAGAAACTGCGGGCCAGTCAACCTGCACTGCCTCACGAAAGCCATTTTTCAGGTATGGGTCTACTGTTTTTTTTTTGTTGTTAATAATCAGGAAAGTTATCATTTTCGTCGAGTAATTCCACTGGAAATTTAAGTATTTTTTAACTTTCTAAAAATGTGATTTTCAGACATGGAGGAGTCTATAAGATCCTCTAAGGTCTTGCAAGGTCAAGAAAACATAGGTTTAATCTCGCCTCTCTATGGAAAGATTAACTGCCACCCGGAGTTTGAACAGCAAACTGTGCCTCGTCGGGATTTTATGCCTGCTGGTATTGAAAAGACGAAACTCGGTGAACTTTTCCAAACTCAACCTCCAGCCATGTACACAGGCTTTTTGGAATCGAATAGGTTTCCAAAGGTCTTGCAAGGTCAAGAAATTTGCTCTTTGAGATCCTTTGCCGGGAAAAAAGACGTAAAATTCGGTTCCTGGGCTAAACCTGAACAGGGTTGCAATGTTTTCCAAGCATATCAGAGCCCTAAGAACAATTTCTATCATCTTGATTCTCAAGGGATGAGGAATAATACTTTTTTACCTTATAATGGGATCTATCGAGCTGGCCAGAATCCCGTAATGTTTCCACACATGAATGATTATCCTAGAGAAAATCATGTATTGAAGCCGATATCCATCCAAAACGGGAAAAGAAGGGAAGAGGGTACAATACAAAATTTCACCAGTGAGCAGAGCCCCCTCGAAAAGCCTTCCAAACTGGCAACCCCCGAGGCCCATTTCAAGGACGAGAAGAGTGACCCTTTGAGCGGAACGGGGGGGCCTTGTAAGCTATTTGGCTTCTCGTTGACCAAAGAGCCCTCCACCCTGAGCTCTCAAGGTTCTAGTAAGAGGAGCTGTACTAAGGTAAACTTCAGTAATGACAGATGGAGCGTTACGCTAATTATGCTGTTTACTTCAAACTCTGTATTTGATATCTGATACGTTCGTGAAGGTTCACAAACAAGGGAGCTTGGTTGGAAGGGCTATTGATCTCTCGAGACTCAACGGGTATGAAGACCTGCTCATCGAGTTAGAGAAGCTCTTTGGAATGGAAGGCCTGCTGCGTGATCCTAACAAAGGATGGAGAATCTTGTACACCGACAGTGAGAATGACATGATGGTCGTTGGGGACGATCCATGGCAGTAAGTCCCTCCCCGCTCCCCCTCCATGAAATGAGCATTTCATTCTTATGCCTTCCAAATTTCATTAGGCTATCTAAAAGCATCACTACTGGCAAGCAAATATATGTTTTTTCGAGTGACAAGGGAAACCAGAGCCACTACTCGAGAGTGTCCACTAGGTAAATCCCACCTTGTGACCCTAGCCAGCTGTTATAAACTAAGATTGGGCTAGGATCACTCAATTGGACTATAATGCCATGGGCCAAATCACACTAAAAGATTGAATTCAACCAATTAGCTAGTCGCCTTATAAACCCACATGTCAAAGGACCAGAGTTAAATCAGCTTAGGTTGCCCATAGTTGACTGGCTCAAGCCAAGAAGGCCAATAGGCCACTGCCGTTGGGAATCGAACTTGTAGCGTTGCGGTTACCAAGTCAACAACTGGACCAACTTGACTGGGGTTGCCCCCAACAGGCAAATATATTTAGCCTAATGTGTGGTAGCTCTAATTCCATTGGCCTTTACACAAGTATCATTTATAGGATAAAAACCGGTTTCCTCTATAAACCTAGGATACGAGAACATATATCAATACATTCATTCTTCTATGTTTCTTCCCAATACAACGATTGAATTGATTTGGTTGTCTCTGATGGCATGATGCAGCGAGTTCTGTGAAGTTGTCTCGAAGATCCACATATACACGCAGGAAGAGGTGGAGAAAATGAGCATAGGTGGGATAAGCGACGACACACAAAGTTGTCTAGAGGAGGCACCGCCAGTCACAACGGATGCATCAAAGTCATCTTCAGTCGGCCTCCCCAACCCCAATTCTTCTCCAACAGTGAGCAAGATCTGAAGCTTTTTTATGTCGTTAATTCCCGTGTAATGCTATGATGCTTTAACTTAGTTTGTATCCTGAAATTATGCTCAATAATTTGCTCACTCCACATGATAAGTATGTAAGTAGGAGGAGACTTTTTATGACAGCATATGTATAACCTGAGTTTGTACTAATGATTCCTAACAATGGGAATGTCTCTAGAACTAGAAAGCTTTTGTTGTTGTTGTTAAGCTTGCAATCTTTAATCTGCAGAAGTGATTAGTCTGCTAATGTCAAAATTTCGTATGATGCAGTTTTTTTCAGTAGTCAGGGTTTCTTTATGTATGTTGCATTTGAGTGTTTTCCTACTAAATAAGAAGTGATTGGCCTTTTAGGCTTCTTGGTGTGAGCTGGACAGTTATATGCAACTTAGATTAATTTATTTTATTGTGGTCTTTTGTAGCTAGGGTCATAAGACAAACAGTCGTTATATCATAGACCGTGGTGCACATGCACCGCGGTCAAAAACGGTGCCGTTTCTTTAAGTAAAGAAACGGTCCGCCGTTACCGTTAACAGAGTCCGCTTGTTCGGTGTATTAAACACCAACTGACACTACAGTATATCTAAACCGACAATGCAGTTATATCAAAATGATACTGTAGTTGTAGTGAAATGAAACTGCAGTGTATATAAAATTAAACTGAATAACATTTCACATATTTGAGTGTATATTGTACAATGAAGCTGTAATTATATCAAAATGATCATGTAGTTGTGTTTTAATGAAACTATAGTGTATATAAAATAAGCATTCAAAAAAAAATAGTGTATATAAAATAAAATTAAATAATATTTTCACATATTTGAGTTTATAAATATCGAATGAAACTGTAGTTATATCAAAATGAAACTGTAGTTGTGTTGAACCAAAACTGAGTGTATACGAAATGAAATTGAATAACATAGTTACTTTTTGCGGAAGGGTGCGGAACGGCAAAAAACGAATGCCGTTTATTTTCATTTAACAAAACGACATCGTTTTGGTGCGCGGTGCATAATCGATTATGCACCGCGGTGCACGATATAATTTGCCTAAGACGAAGAGGTTTTCTTCATGCACAACAATTGTAGATTTTTCTAATCACCCAAAAAAAAAGGATTGGATATTACATCTTTTAAAGTTTTAGTTATTAATAATTTTCTTTAAAAAATTCACCGAATTAACCAAAACATATAATTTACTATGTAATATGCATAGTGCGTATTCTATTTTTCACAAATTCATTATTTAATTAGTGTGATAAGAGTAAATTGTTTCGGGTCAATGTATCCGGTTCGAACGTCATTATCATATTCGTCTTTAAGTATTGGACGCTTGGGCTCGGGGCCCAGTTAAGTATTTGGGTCAGGACCGAGCCTAAAGGGTTCAAAGCAGAAGCTCATTAAGTTAAGAAGAAGCTTAATACCAGTTCGGATTGGTTTAGGCGCGCTGTCGAAAAAAAAAACCCCAATATGCATAGAGTCCGATCCGATTAAGTTCTCGGTATATAAGGGTCGGTAATTCGGAGTATATTCCTTATCAAGGTGTTTGAATTAGGGGTGTAAACGAGTTGAGTCGAGCCCGAGCTCAAGCTCAGTTTGTAACAGGGGAGCTCGAGCTCGAGCTCGGCTCGTCATATTTTCGAGCAGCTCAAGCTCGGCTCGAGTGACTCGATTGTTTGAGCTCGAGCTGAAGTTTGACTCGACATGACTCGAAACTGAGCTCAAGTTTGAGTTTAGGCTTGATTTTGACCTATTTAATTCATGCTTCAAAACTCAAAAAATAATAAAAACTATTTAATTCATGCTTCAAAACTCAAAAAATAATAAAAACGCAAAAAATAAAAATAAAAAAAACAAATCAATGTCCAAAGTTCAAAGCACTCTATACAAGTTAATAATTTCACATCAACTATAAGTCTACAACAACACTACAAATAGATCAAAAACTTTAGATCAAAAACTTTATGTTAGGAATATAGCGGAATAATGCGGAAGCGAAGAATCGAAAATTGAGAATTATAGAAGTTGAATAATAGGAAAATATATAAATGACAAAAGTAGGAAATTAATAAATTGGGAAAATATAATATATATATATTAAACTCTAAAAGAGTATAAAGAAAACAAATATATATATAAATATATATGTATTCTACGTGGGGACAAAAAAGAAAGAAGAAAGAATGAATTCAATATTGATGCCTTGATAACAAAGAAACATGAGCTATTTATACAATTGAAAGAAGGAGATAAATACGGCATGCTCATTGAGGAAAGGCACCACTTCCGGCGGGACGTGCAATGAGGAGGCTACTGTATGCATGCGACGTGGGTGGACAGCAGCATGTGGTGCATCATGGTGAGTGGAATGGATTTTGAGCCATAGAACTTAATTATTTTCTAACAATCTCCACCTTGGATCAAATCCATTTTGAAATTAATAACTGGAACAGTCGACTAAACTCAAGCACTGGTTGAACTTAGCAATAGGAAAAACTTTAGAATAGCAGGATGGATCACCATCAACTTCCTATGCGACTGAAAGAGCATTAGCAACCATGTTGGTTTCATCATCACTAGCATACCTAGCAGGTTTCTTGATTGTCCTCCTAGGCCGATCCATAGCAATGGAATACTCTCGTAGTGGCTCGACGAGAGGTGCGACACTAGTAGATGCATCATCTTTAGTATTACCATCAGCAGTAGTAACACTATCAATAGGCCTGAACTCAAACTCCACCTTCTCACCAGTACTCTGTGTCTCATCTGTACTGGGAACTTTTCCAGAAGAAAGTAGTGCATTTTCGTCAAAAGTGATATCTCGGCTCAGAATGATTTTCCGAGAATCAGGAGACCATAGACGATACCCTTTTGACTCAGAGGCATAACCAAGGAAAATGCATTTGACAGCTCTCGGGTTCAATTTACCCGTACTGGAATGAGCATAAGCAGGACATCCAAAAACTCTTAAGATAGAGTAGTCAACAGGATTACCTGACCAAACTTCCTCTGGAATTTTGAAATCAAGGGATGAATGTGGAGATCTATTTACCAAATAGCAAGCAGTAGAAACGGCCTCGGCCCAAAAATCACGCCGTTTCCATAACCCAGCATTAGAGAGCATACAACGAGCTCTTTCCAATAGAGTCCTGTTCAAACGTTCGGCAACACCATTCTGCTGGGGTTTACCAGGCAAGGTCTTGTGCCTGGCAATTCCATTTGCCGCACAAAAGTCATTGAAATCTGACTCACAGAACTCCAAGCCATTGTCTGTCCTGAGCTTCTTGACTTTTTTACCTGTCTGAGTCTCAACAAGTATTTTCCATTTCTTGAAAATAGAAAATGCTTGATTTTTATGTTTCAGGAAATAGACCCAGACTTTACGAGAAAAGTCATCAATAATAGACATAAAATATCTACAGCCTCCCATAGACTGGAATTTAGTCGGTCCCCATAAATCGGAATGTATATATTCCAATACATCTTTGGTACGGTGTGTAGCAGTAGAGAAACTAACCCTCTTTTGTTTCCCAAAAACACAATGCTCACAAAATGGTAATTTACCCGTACCTGAACCACCAAGGAGACCTTTCTTGCTCAGGATATGCATGCCTTTCTCACTCATATGCCCTAGACGCATATGCCATAGTTGAGTGAGATCCGCATCAGACATCGATGAGGATACCGCTACTGTACCTGTCACAGTACTGCCATGCAACACGTACAAGCTTCCAGATCGAGAAGCTTTCATGAGAACAACAGAGCCTTTTATGACCTTCAAAACTCCACCTTCAGCTATGTACTTGCACCCCAGACTTTCCAAGGTACCCAAGGATATCAGATTGCGTTTCAAATCAGGAATATACCGAACATTGGTAAGAGTCCTGATAACGTTATCATGAGTTTTAATCTGAACACTTCCAATTCCACTAACCTTGCATTGGGTATCATTACCCAGCAAGACAACTCCACCATCAACCGGTTCCAGAGAAATGAACCAATCTTTGTGGGGACACATGTGGAATGTACAACTCGGTTTCGCTCCGTTTGCAACCGGAGCTAACAGATAACAAAACATCGCCTTCTGAATCACTTTCAACAACACTAGCTTCAGCGGACTTCTTTTCTCTCTCTTGCTTGTTTTTCAACTTGAAGCATTCAGTCACATCATGACCATGCTTCTTGCAGTACTTACAGGATTTGTTGGACTTATGTCCTTTGGACTTGGATCTAGAATTTTTATTGCTACTCCCTGATTCAAGTGAATGACCCCTTACGGTCAAGCCTTCACCTTTGTCCTCAGACTTAATTTCAAAGTCAAACTTTTCTTTGGACAATAGGTTTGACTTAACATTGTCGAAAGTAAGGGTATCACTACTATTACCATACAACATAATTTCTTTGAAATGCGTGTATGATCTAGGGAGAGAGACAAGCAATAAAACAGCGCGATCCTCATCTTCAATTATAACATCAATATTTTCCAAGTCCAATAAAATAGAATTGAATTCATCCAAGTGAGATTTAATAGAAGTACCTTCCGTCATACGGATTGTGTACAGACGCTCCTTCAGGCGTAGCGTGTTCGCCAGAGTTTTGGCCATGTAAAGCGTATCCAGCTTGGACCATAAATCTGACGCAGTCGTCTCACTTAACACCTCACGTAGAACCTCTTTAGACAGGCACAAAAGAATGGTTGAACGTGCCTTGTCATCCAAATCTTCCCAAGTTTCATCTGTCATTGCAGCCGGTTTCTTCTTCTTCCCAGCTAGCGCTTTCTTCAAACCGTTCTGGGTTAGAACGGCTTCCATCTGAACCTTCCAGATAGAAAAGCTAATTTTCCCGTCGAACTTCTCGATATCGAACTTGGTAACAGTTGACATCTTTGAAAATAACTCTCAATTAAACCGCTTTGATACCACTTGTTAGGAATATAGCGGAATAATGCGGAAGCGAAGAATCGAAAATTGAGAATTATAGAAGTTGAATAATAGGAAAATATATAAATGACAAAAGTAGGAAATTAATAAATTGGGAAAATATAATATATATATATATATATATATATATATATATATATATATATATATATATATATATATATATTAAACTCTAAAAGAGTATAAAGAAAACAAATATATATATAAATATATATGTATTCTACGTGGGGACAAAAAAGAAAGAAGAAAGAATGAATTCAATATTGATGCCTTGATAACAAAGAAACATGAGCTATTTATACAATTGAAAGAAGGAGATAAATACGGCATGCTCATTGAGGAAAGGCATCACTTCCGGCGGGACGTGCAATGAGGAGGCTACTGTATGCATGCGACGTGGGTGGACAGCAGCATGTGGTGCATCATGGTGAGTGGAATGGATTTTGAGCCATAGAACTTAATTATTTTCTAACACTTTACATCAACTCATTTACAGCCCTAGTTTGAATGTTTGATCATGCTTTGGACAAGGATACAACTCTTCTTGGCCGATGACTACGTGGATATCAAGTGATCGAGGAGGGTGTGTTTGCAAAGTAGTGAGTTTTGTTTGTTTGGATTTCCCTTTCCTTATGATTTTGATTTAATCGGTTAATTCTATTAAACTCGAACTTTGAATTAGGATTAAATTACATATAAAATAAGTTTAAGGGGAAACTGTTATTAATCTCAAACTACAAGGGGTTCATTGATATTATCTTAAAAGATTTGGGGAACTAAGAAAAACACATTTTCCCTCTTTTTCTTCTTCCTTTGGTAAGCCTGAAAGCTGTAGAAGCGAACTCCGAAGCGAATAGCATTCTCATTAATGGCGATTGTGCGGTAGGCCACCATTTTTTCAGCTTTCAATTGTGCAAGTGAAGCTATCGACTCAGGAATGGAAGGTGGAGGAGGAAGAGAGCAGAGCTCGGCGCCACCTAAGCCCTCGAAGTTCACGGTGTATCAAAACCCGGCTCTCTCCGCCGCATTAACCTCCAATAGCCTCCGCCCCTCCATGTCCACCTTCCTGTTCCTCCTATCGCTCTCCTCCGCCTCCGCCTTTGCCCTTCTCAGCGTCATCTCTAGGTATGCTCCAGCGCGTGCAATGTGTTCGTGTCTCTCATTCTCCCAAATATTATTTGTTCATGTGTGTTGTATGTGATGTTGCCTTTTTTGTTGTGCCTTAGTTCGCTAAATTAGGGTTTTGTAGCAATTTAGGAGTGTGTAAGTTTGCTGTTTAGCTTTTATGGGAAAATTTATTCTTTATTCATTCATTTATTTATTTCTTATGATTTGTGCAATCTTTTTGGAGCATTTATTATGTTGAATTACAGAAATACAGTTCCATCAGGCGTGTATTGTGAACTGGAGCTTGTTCTAGGAATGCTTTGTTTGTAGTATTGTCTTTCAACATCACTCAATAGATTTGGAATTGGGAGTATGGAGATTTTGATTCCTGTTTGAGTTAGATAGGGAGGGGAAAGTCGGGAAACTATAAATGATCAGTAATGCATTTTCATGGTGAAAGTGTTAGTATTATATTTACAATTTCATTATGTAAAAGGTGTTCGATACATCGTTACTGGAAATGATTTTGCTATAGTTCTGCTCAACTAGCTTGCTGCAATGTCACATTTATAGTTGCACTCTTAAATGTATTATGATTAAATATGGACAAAAATCTAATTTATGTGATTACATGATCCCCCCTCCCAACTAATCCCTATCCAAAGAAGTATGTAATTTCTATCACATTTTCCTGAATGGTGTACTGAAATTTTTATTTCTTTGGGAAACAGGATTGTCTATATTAGTTGTATTATCTTAGGTAGCGTAGCTAATGGCTTTATTTGAATTTGAATTTTAGGGAAAATGGAATTGTTGAAAGTTTGAAAATTGGATACGCTTCTCAAGAAACTGCTCGTAAGTAACATAGCTTAAAGTTTCTTCTTAGTTGGGTTAAGCTAAGCAATTAATTGGTCTGACCTTTTCTTTACTTCATGCTCAGGTCTTTTTACCAAAGTGATACAAAGCATTGCCGGTTTTTTTTTAATTGGAACTTTTCTTGCCCTTGTTAAGGCTATTCTTCTTTGGAGAAAAAGGAATACAACAGAATTGATGATTACTTCTCCAGCTAAAGGATCAAAGGAACAGATGCGGCTGACTAATCGACAACTAGGGCTTTTAGGAATTAAACCAAAGGTTGAACAGGGCACAGTAGAATCTTCAAAGAAACCTCCCAAGTCCAAAATGACCTCTCCATTAGATGCCCTTGTCCCAGTTCATCAGCCAATTTCCAGTGCAAGCCGTTCAGCTAGACTGAGTAGTGAAAAATCAAGTGCCAGTAGTGGGTCTAAAATACATACTTTCAGCACCCCATCCAAGTCTCCTGCTTCCCAATCTCTGATTCTAGTCCCTACATCTTCACAACCACCTTCTCTCCAGACTTCACCTTGGTCAAACAAGCGAGCTCCTTTTCACAAAGAGATAATGACAGAAGAAGATCTTGAAAAGTTTTTGGTTGATGTTGATGAGAAAATTTCTGAATCGGCAAGTAAATTGTCCACCCCACCACCCACGATAAGTGGTTTTGGTGTAGTCAGTCCTGGTAACATGCCCAGTTCAGCTAACACTTCTGGAACTCCTAGAAGTACTCCTTTGAGGCCTGTTAGGATGTCCCCTGGTTCACAAAAGTTCACTACTCCTCCAAAAAAAGGGGAGGGTGATCTACCTCCTCCCATGTCAATGATAGAATCTATTGAAGCTTTTGAACATCTTGGTATATATCCACAGATTGAACGATGGCGTGACCATCTTAGGCAGTGGTTTTCCACAATGCTTCTCAATCCCTTGCTTAACAAAATTGATACTAGTCACGTGAAGGTGGGCTATCTCATCACTTTTTCTCCTTTCTATCCTTTTCCTGTTTTTATACCTTGATACATTGAACTTGTTCAAGGGGTGCAGAGATGCACCAACATTTGCTAACCATATTTGGCTTTTGAACTTGTAAATTGTGGTGTGATACTCTTATCACACTCAAGGGTTCACTAAATGGACAAGGCAAAGCCTTCGCTGCAATCAGCAGCTTATCTCTGTGATTCTGAATCATGCTTATTTGACTATGTTAGGTCATGCAATCAGCTGCTAAACTAGGAATAACAATTACTGTCAGTCAAGTGGGAAGTGAAATCTCAAGTGCTGGAACTACTATAGTCTGCACACCTGGGATGACTAATGAATGGCAATCCTCATTCTCTCTTGATGAAGATGGACTTCTTCACCAACTGCGTGCCAGTCTTGTTCAAACCCTTGATTCTTGCATGTGTAAGTTGGTTCACCTTTTTTTTTTAATGGTGTCAATAGTATTACTATTTTTGGTTTGTTGGTATCTTTTGATATCTTTTGTGGATTTTCATTTCAGCAAAGTTGACTCCTAGCAATTTGCAACAATCCCCACAGCAGAGCACCTTAATCCCTGTTGTGCAAGAGTGCATCGATGCTATAACTGAGCATCAGAGGCTTCTTACTTTGATGAAAGGAGAATGGGGAAAGGGCTTGCTTACCCAAGGTAGTGTTCGTGCAGATTATACTGTAAGGAGAATTCGAGGTAATCTGATCATTACTCTATAAGGGTCTCTGGTAATTTTCAGGACTTGAGATGATCAAGGTTCAATTTTTAAAATTAATTTTTCTGAGTTGTGTTGATAAAACATTCTCTGTTTTCTTAGATTGCAATGTTAACCTCCAGTTTTTATAAATTAAGCCCTTTGGAAAAGCAAAAGAAAAATAGATTTACTTTTCTTTCTTTTATTATTTCAGAAATTAGATGTTCCCCCAGCCACCCTGCTCCACCATCTGCCACCCCTACCTCTCCCCTTAATCCCAAGGTCAAACCTACAGGCCACAGCAACCTCAGCCTACACTTCTCTTCTTCCCTTTCCCCCATCCATCCTATCCACCTTTGTGCAGCATCCTAGCAAAATACCAGCTCCACCACCCTTGTTTTTTTATCTCCTCTTCAACCATGACCACTGTCTGGTAACTCCCCTCCCCCAAAGCCCAACAAACTCTTCTTTTTCCTCTCTCCACTCACTTTATTGTCACTTGGTTCGCCTGAAGCCAGCTCCGTCTCCCAATGGCGACCTCTGTACTTGTCCACAACTCTATCCTGTATTCAATTTCTTGGTTGCATGACCCTATCCCTCCATCAGTGGCACTGGCTCTTTGTTTCTCTTTCAAAATTATATTTTACTTTTTGTTCCAAAAAGAAAATGCATTTTTTGGTTTTTATCTTTCATCATCATTTAATGCCTGCTCAAATGTGAAAAATTAAGGGTAATTTATTGTATGTCATCAAATGATCAAATCAAGGACAAAAGGTGCTCATTCCCTTAACTAAAAAAAACCTATATTAGTACTTGGTGCCTGACATCAAAAGTCTAATTTTTACAGAGCTTGCTGAAGGGACATGTGTGAAGAAGTATGAGTATCTGGGTGAAGTTTATGACAATTCAAACAAGAAGTGGAGTAGTGACCTTCCTACAGATTCACATCTGCTCCTATATTTGTTTTGTGCTTTCTTAGAACACCCTAAGTGGATGCTACATGTTGATCCTACGGCTTATGCTGGATCTCAATCAAGCAAGAACCCCTTATTTCTGGGTGTTTTGCCTCCTAAAGAACGGTTTCCAGAAAAGTATATAGCTGTTGCTTCAGGTGTCCCCTCAGTGCTTCATCCAGGAGCTTGCGTATTGGCTGTTGGGAAGCAAAGCCCCCCAGTATTTGCCTTGTTCTGGGACAAGAAGCCTCAGTTCTCTTTACAGGCAAGTGTCTCCCTCCCTCACAGTTCTTGAGCCCCTATACATATGAATAGGTTTTTCTGGTGACCTTACAGTGCTTGAGCACTTTTATGGTTTACAATACACTAAACCTTTTTGTAATTTACCTATTTGCGTGAATTCAGGGAAGAACAGCAGTTTGGGACTCGGTATTGCTTCTCTGCTACAAGATAAAGGTTGGTTATGGAGGGATAGTTCGAGGCTTGCACCTTGGTTCATCAGCATTGGACATTCTTTCAGTTCTAGATCCGGAACCAGAAGATTGACAAACTGAAAGGCATTAGTTGTAAGAGTGCCATGATTTTGATAGAGTATCTGGCACGCATATGAAATATGAATGCCCAGAGTGTTCAGTGTTGTATTGTTTTATAATAGCCAAGTCAGACTAGACTCTTGTTTCTGATATCTTAATATCTTAAAATTTGACTTGTTTCAATGCACGTCAGGATATTGGGAAGGAAAAGTTCTATAATAACTTACAAAGAGAGCATTGTCTGAGTTGGTTCGAAGTAATAATACATCAAATAACAAAATAGGGCACCATTTTTACGGCGCCGGTTGCATTATGAGTTCTGGCAAAAGTATATTTGTAAAGCTTAATGTGCAGCGGTTAACAAATAATGGCAAGAGTTTCTTCAACGGTTGGCATTTCCCATTGCGCTCTGATCTTTCTCCTTGTTGACACCACAAAAATTCATGACAGTAATAGAAATGGGTGGGGTGGGGGGACTCCTAACTATCCATCTATCTATCTAATAAAAGATCAAAAAAGTAAATTATGGTTGAGGCGGTTCCACTATTTCTATTTACTATTTAGTCGGCAAAGATGTTCTCAACTGTGCAACTCATGATTAAAAGTAACCTGCAAGAAAACCAAGGGAGAGGAAATAAACTAGGTGAAAAGAAGATAATGAAATTCCTTTTAGTTGTGAGACAGATAGAGAGAGAGAGAGCTCACCAAATTGGGACTCCAAAGGTAGGTACTCCAAAAATGACAAGCGTACAAGTCAGGTTTTCTCTACATCATTATGCACAGGGAGGGACCATCACCACCCTCTAGCAATCTTCTGACAGACACACTATGTTCATTGGCCCCTTCATCATTTATCATATGCACACAGCAGTTAATATGGACCACCAAACATGTTTTTGGGAGAATCAGCAGCAGCATCCAATCCATACATTGATCTTTTAGAAAATGACCAAATGACCAATTGTTTCCCAAGTCCCAGCTCCCCTACTCGGAATCAGAATCAAAATTTAAGTATGTCCTTGGCCTTGCAGTAGCTGTACGGCGTTTACGAGGAAACGAGAAAGGGCTATCTGATCTTTCTCTGCATATCTTATTGGATTTATTATCATTCATTCCCAGAAGCAGTGAAGCTGTATAACAGACAGGATAAATGAATAAGTTCAGTCAAAGATGGATCTTCGGACGTTATAGATCAAACAACATTATATATAGCCAGCAAGATAAACAACTTCAGACACCAAATAGCCCTCTGCCAATTATGAGAGATGAACTTTAATAGTACTTCAAAAAGAAAACTACAACATAATTCTAAGCTCCTGCATCATTGTTTACCCATTTGGTTATGATCCTAACACATAATGCCACATGTAAATCTAACCTTCCTATGTTCACAGAGCAAAAATAGTGTGAGAAAACACCATAACAATGTACATCTGCAGAGGCACAGGCATGCAAAGTACACACACACAACTGATCTAAAGACGTACCAGTATCAGGCATTGTATACAAGCCACCATCTTTTGGTTGCAATTGCTGATCTGAATTTAACCCATTAGTCGCTGCAGAATCAGCTGTAGCCCCAATACCTCCACTCCCAAGCGTAAGTGAAAACCAATCCTCAGTTTGAACACCATTTGCAACATCTGGTTGATCTCTTGTACTAGTGTCTATTGATGCATTTGATGGTCTAGTTGGAAGAAATATCTGAAGAGGGGGATCAGCACCAGCAAATGACATTGGATTAAATCCATCATTTAAATTGGCATTAGGACAGCCAACAGAAGATTCAGGTGCAACACCAACTGATCCTATGGCGCCATCTATTGGAAACTCATAGCCATCAATGGAACTGGGAAAATCAATGGAGTGAGGCTGCACAACAGCTAAGGAACCTGAGACACCTGCATCTGAACCAAATAATTGAAAGCCCGGACCTCCCTGGGTATTGTGCGATAAAGGCCATGTATGCATCCCAAAGTCATCATTATTAGCACCAAACAAACTGGGGCATGAATTGCCCTCATTAGTAAGAGCAGGGTCTTCATGATAAGAATCTGTAATTCCATGTTGTTGCAATGGAAAAGAGACTCTAGCAGCATCTGCCCTGTTGTTACCCTGGACATTTCCATACATCAGTGGTTCATTTTCTTCATCTGAATCACTCAAGACAATAACTTCAGCATCCCCCAATGGTATAGATGGGTTTCTATCACTAATACCATACTCACTATTGAAATTAAGTGAAACAGATTCAAAGTCAATCCTATTGTTGGTAGGCAAGTCAAGGTTCCCAATGCCATCCTGATTTACACTGCGATCGTCACCTGCTTTGCCACTTCCAGTGCCACTGCTGCTCATGGGAATGATATCCTGATCTCTGAAAAAATTATCTCGCATTTTGTTTGTCAGAACATCATCAGGTTTACTGATTTCCCAAATGCCATTGGGGTTTTTCTTCAGTCCAACTCTGAGACCACCATGACCATTAGAACCGCCATCCTGTTTAACCTGCTTAAGAATTTCAGGCTTTGGTATCGAGTCTGCATCTGAAGATATGCAGAGATTCCCATTAGGTAAGTGCCACTGTCCAAGATCTCCAAGACTGTTTATATCACCTTCCACCTTAGCCCGCCAGGAACCATCAGGTTTCACCTCAATGTCTGCCACATCTTCTTCACAATTCCTCAACTGCACCACAAAAGCAACAAATTATACAAGCATTTTTAAGGTAAAAACTTTTGGAACCAGACCCAAAGCTGTGAATGTTACCTTTGAAGTAATTCGATTGAGATATGGGTCAATAATAATATGCTCCAGAGAGTAATTCTTGAGACAATGGGGACATTGCCACTGAAGCACATGTACAACATTCATAATAATAAGAGATCATTAGGAAAAAGGAAAAAAGCCACACACACAAACTAGGAGACATCCACTAATGATAGTAGAAGTCCAAAACAAGTGATTCTCATGCATAGCTACTTGCCTTTCTCGTCCTTTGATTCATTTCAACAAAAACTTCAAGATCAAAACAACCCTTGTGAACACAGGGCTGGAATCTTCCAGCAACCTTGATCCTTGAACCACTCATCTGAGACAACAGATACAAAAAATAAAATGTTAAATAAATTGAGGAATTACAGTTAAATTAAGTTATTGAACCTACATGCAAGATACTGGAGAATCTCTAAAAATAGAAAATAAAGACATTCTTTTTCCTCAACTGTTGAGCAGAAACAGGACAAGCAGTGGGATAGAATCACAAGTATGCTAGTGGAGTCACTAAGAACAATACCCATTGAAGATGCTAATTTAATGAAAATTTGCTTTTGTGACTTTTCACACAATCCAGAAGTTAAAAAGTGATGGTCATTAGAGAACAGAAGGTTAAAAATAAATAAAATAAACACATATAACACTGTCTCTCCCATTAAAATGGACCCAATCATCCTACCCTTCAAACAATCAACAATCAAATAATTGGCACTTAACAAATTCACTAGAGTAGAATCTCATTAGTGACAATGACAAATTTTACAAAATGTTCAATTTCACCCTTTACTCCTTTTATCCTTTAGGGTAATGCTATAAAAGGAGGATAAAGATGCCCTCTATGGTAATGCTTCAACTGCCAGACAAAAAAAGAATATGAACTTGTTGTATTGCCTAAATTCCAATTCCCAACAATGAACAATCTTGCCAGAAATTTAAGAATTGTAATGTGGTAATTGAGACCCAGAAAAAGCAGAGGTGAAAGAAGTTGATAGACAGAGCATCTAGTCAAAAACACCATTCAGATTAGTGGATGAAATCAAGGAATAAGAAGTGTCACCGTCTCACCCCCAACATGTTGAACAAATACACAAGCATACAAACATGATTTTATTTTTGCAAAGAAATTTCACATAAAGATGTATAATACAATTTATGATTTCATCTTTTCCATGTATGAGGGACTCTAATAGCGCCAAGGGTTCTTTTATAAAATCATGATGTCAATTTTCAAATATAACTTACAGGGCACCGAAGATTCAAAGGAATAAAGTCAGCAACAATTTCAATATCACTGTCACTGTCAGCATTTTCTGTGGCATTCCCACCACCAATACGACAAACCCGAGCAAGTGCATCTTCAAATCTCTCACCATCAGACTCCTTAGGAATACAGTTAAGTATCTAGAGGATCCAAATAAACATAGAATCAGATAGGAGCAATAGTAAACCAACATCAAATCTTACAAGTTTTAAATTAGATGCGAAGTAAGTTATTTTTTAACATGTACTGTACAATCAAAAACTTATTAAAATGTGAGAAGATAAAGTGAAAGAGTAATATAATAGATCTAACATAGAAGTATGCACATGTACAACTTGCAGCAACATAAAGATTTTCCTTCAGGAGAATAGCACAGTGCATGCTCCATTTAAAGCTTTAAGCTTCTAAAAATGAAAATTAATGGAGAAAAGAAGTGTCACTTTCAACAACTAAATACCTGTTGGACAGTACGCCTCTTTACAATTCTGACACCGAAACAAAACACTCGAGAATCAACACCCGTCAAAGAGATTTTGTTAAAACCATCCCTAGTGCATGGTGTTATCTGGAGCAGATAGAATCAAAAGTAATTAAATGCAAATTGGAACACACAAAAGCATTTTAATGTGTTATAAACTAAGATTGGGCTAGCATCACTCAACTGGGCTATAATGCACATGGGCCAAACCACACTAAAAGATTGAATCCAACCAATTAGCTAGCCTAACCCATGGCCTTATAAACCCATATATTCTCTCTCTCTTTTTTTTTTCAATGTGGGACTCTTATGAGCAAAGGAAGAAAATGAAAGGGAGCATGGATGAATTAACTACAAAGGGTATAAGTACAACTAAACTTATAATGTGCAATTAGCATCTAGCCCAGTAAGGAGTATATAAATGCATAAGCAGCATATGTTCTCAAGATGAGAGTAAATAAATAAATAAATAAAAACATAAATACAAAAATAGCCACAATAAAAGAATTAGTGCATAGTGTCAGAACTCACTATGGGTCCATCATCTCGACCATTAGCCCCTAACAATTGTGAGCCAGGTCTGTTTATTGCTCGAACTGGGACCCCTGTGAGGTACAAGTAATTTAAGAAAGTCAGTTTGAGGTCTCAATGAAAAAGGTTGAAGCTATTAATAGCAATCAGTTGTAGACAAGAGGTAAAAAAAATGTAGTGTGTGATAAAATAACAAATTTGGACAAGTAGGTTATAATGTGTTAGATAAAAAAAAAATTAATTTGGATTGAATATGATTAGCAAATCCCAGAGTACAGAGATGTGGTTCAGCATAAACTAGTCATTTGAAGCCATTTGGATCATACAGAGACATGATGCTTAGCCAAAAAGTTAACTGAAACAGTAGCACATAGGACAGTGACTATGCTACCCAGCACAAATTATATGTTCCTTAACCCAAAGTAAATTTAGAGTAAACCAAAAAGCCTATTCTCAAGAATGAATATTAGTTAGATAATTTTCCTTAAGCTAAATAAAATTCAAATTAATTTTTTTTTGAAGGGAAAAATTCAAATTAATTTGAAAAGGCCTATCTTCAAACATGATTCTATGCAAGAGCATACCATTGACCTGCAGAGATGTATACAGAGGCCAATGCATCCTAAAGTGAACTGTGTCATTGAGAAGCATGCACCAAGCCTGAAAGTGACACCATTCTGAGTAACACACAAATAAACTTCAGTTTGAAAATATCAGTCAGAATTGTGGGTAAACCTGAAGATCATACTCCTGTTTTGCCAATAAGTCTCTATCTGCTCTTGTAAGTTGAAATGTTTTCTCAATACTCTGCACTGGGTTTGTTCTGAGATTTACAGATGTAACACAATTACACAAGATAAATGGATGGAACAAAAGAAAATTTACAAGAAATTAAACATGATATGAATAAGAAAGAACCTAGAAAATGCTACAAAATGAATACATATAACACAGTTTTAAAAAGAATAATCTCTTTTTGACAAATGGAGGCTCTAAGAACACAGAAGTTATTGAAAGGGGGGAACAAAGAGAACAGATGGCAACAGAACACCAAAACTGAAGAGATGACAGTATTACAGTACAAATATGACAAGGGTTAAAGACAGCAATTTCATGAATCCTATTGACCACAAACTCATCTCCTTCTGGAGACCCTCAACAGGAAGGGAGTGGGGATGATATTTAATTACAACTGGCAATAAAATCACCTCCGCCTAGTTTACTTGAAAGCAATATTCAGTTAAATTAAATTATTTTGATGTTGCACCCCCCTATTAAGTAAATTTGTTTGGAGTCCAAATCTTTTGATATAATATGAGCTTGTAAATTCTTAATTTCAAGTCATGACTGAGCTCCCGCTAGCAGCCGAAGTGCCAACCACTGTCTTGGTGTCATTTATTTTATGAATAAATTCATTAAAAAAAAATGCAAAATTTGTCTAACATT